TGCCACCTATGTTTGTGAGGGTACAAAGCTTTTGGAGCTAAGGCAGTGCACAGGGGTGAAATGGTAGTCAGTTCCCCTATCTACGCAGAGCTATGAGGGGCAGAGGGTGCACAGACTCCAGCTGGGGGTACCACAGCCAACCAAGTCTGAGACTGATACTTGGGTTACTGGAAATATATGCTTTAAATGCACATCTAAAACTAAACATTGTTAAGATCTTTCTAAAATATCTACTTTCTGACACAGTGACTATTTATCAGATTACATATTAAAGATGTTGATTATAAAATATATCTCAAAATATTCGTTCGTTAAAATTGACGCTGACACCATATTAATTCAATGCTTCTAGAGAACCTTTCTGGACCTTCCATAGTTTGGAAGACTGTATGAAATGTGGAAACAAAACTGTAGTGTGTTATTTCATTCAAGGTGACTTACTCCACATGAGCTAGGTTTGCAGTTTGTTTGACACAATAAGAATTATTGCTCTACGTGGGTAGAAATGGGACTCCATTTGCAAAAAGCAAGAAGAGCAGAAGTTGGAGCATCCAGCCCAGTGAAAGCAAAAGCTTGTGAAGACCAGCTCCATGGTCATCAGGCCTCCCTGGAACCATGGTCTTCTAGGTCTCCAGGCTACTCACACAACAGGGCCTCTTCTCTCTGCAAGCACCAACCTACCTAAAGTCAGATCACCTCTCCACAGGGAAACCTATGCAGGGCATCTAGCTGGGAGGCTGCTGCCTCTCAGAAGCCCTCAGCTGAGGCTCCCATTAGAACAAGTGTCCAGCCACTGAAAGGAAGGGTCACTGAGTCCTCTAGGACCTTTCTCACTTATCCTTGAAAACAGAAGTTTGGGAAAGCCTCAGTGTCCACCAGGAATTGGAAGAAATGCCCTGGTGGGTGACTAACCCCCAAAGGAAGAGTCTCATTTCAAAGTAGTGAGTTTGATGGTAGAGGCTCAAAGGCCTCTTGGCATCTGATGGCATGCCCTGGACTGGGAGACCACAGACCAGCTCCTGTCACCATGAGTGACACTCCCTCCCTGGCTCTGGGATGCTTTGGGGCTTGGGTTTTCTATCTCCAAATTAGTCCAGACCATTTGTGCTTTTAGAAACTAGACGCAGATATGTTGACGAATACATCAACCCAGCTCTATGAAGCCTGCCAGGGGGACCTTCCACAGAAAAAGACACAAGATGAAGTCCCCTGCTTAAGAACCAACTGAAAATACAGCATGGCTAGCGCTGGTATCATAGTGAGCAGCCGGAGTCACCAAGGGCTCTGCACTCAGAGAGCCTAATGCTCTGCTGGCACCATCTTGAAGTTCTTCATCATGGGGAATGAGGGGCCTGGGCCCACAGATTCTGAGCTGGTTATCAACGCACCTAGGAAAGGGTGGAAGAGCACGTGTCCTGGCCCCTCTTCAGTCCACACATCCATTCCCACCTCCTGGTGCATCACACACACACACACACACACACACACAAACTTACATGCACACACAAGCACCCCCAAACATATAAACATAAGCACACACCACAACAAGCCACTGTACCCCAATTCTTCATGCCATAGAAAATTCCAGAAGTCAAAGTCTGCAAGTAGAGACTCCAAGTAAAGCAAACCTAACTTCAGGAATGGGACCGCCTCCAGAGGCCTGCCCAAAGCCCTCCCAATAGTGGGGACACGTCTGACTTACGTCTATAAAGGGATGAGTCCCATAGAGCCCCACTGAAGCAGATGCAAAAAGGCAGGAGGGCTAAGGATCTCTGACCACGAAGAGCAAGGTCTCCCTAGGTTTCCTTCTGCAATTTACACAAGAGCAATGCCCTGGACCTGCAGCAGGTGGCGCCAGTACCTTGGGACCCACCAGTGGGACCAGCGAGTGTCCAGCACACACAGCCCCCCTTCACCCCAGCAGGGACAGTGGACAGAAGACAGCTGCTGCCACTCAACCAGACGTTGCTAAGCCACCACCCTCTCTTGGGATCCTGTCTGCCCAAGGCTCCAGCTCCGTTTCCAAACTGAAACAGGGGGAAAGAAGAGAGATAAGAGGCAAAAAGCAATGGAACACGGCAGAAGAACAGAAGCAACGTTACTCTTATAAATATCAGAAGTATAAAAGCAGAGCTCCAGAAGAAGAAAACAGGCATTCCTTCCACTGCATTAAAAAGTTCTCATGAAATAGAGGAATGCTGGCCTTTTTCGGCCCACTTCTGAACACACTTTTACTTGCTGGCTTTGAATATTAAATACACTCATCAGATGATAGTATATGACCGTATAGAAAATAGAACAGAATCCCATGGAAACAGAGGCCCACAAAACACCCAGACACACAGTAGGGGCAGATTTTCCCTGAAATATGACAACACACATAGTTGAAAAATGATTATGTGATGCCGTCTGGCTTCCAAGGCCAGAGTAGAGGTTCCCTTTAATGGAACTGATTGATTCTGCAAGAAACGGAAGCCATTATTTGGAGGTGAGTTTTTATAAGCTCTGGGTGTTATTTAAATGACTTAAAATTAGATCTACAATTAGGCTTGACAGCCATGAAGGAAGGAAACTCCCACTGCCTCCCAGTCCCCCTCCCAGGCCAGGAGGGGGACTCCCTGAACGAACAATGCACTATAGCTTCACATGTCACCAAGAGGTGACAACCCAGAGAAAAGACTGCCCAGTGTGTTGGCACCCAGGTTTTAATGCTCCAGAATCAGTATTTCAACTGGGTTCCATCTTTCACCCGGTTACGCTTCCTGGTCAGGGATGGAGTCCTTCTGGCTCCTACAGATATAAAGTCAGTAGAGTCGGATGACCTAGACACATGGGTCAAATACAATGGAAGGTGAAGAAATGGGTTCTGGAACTTTCCTTTCCTCTAGCTCAAATAAATGTCTGCCTTCTAGGTAGGAAAGCAGGAGCCTTATGCAGGAGAGGAAGCTGGGGGTGAGTCTTTCTGCCAACCAGCCAGTTGCTTCCTCTGGATCAGACCTTACATAAGAGGCCTTCATTATTCCTTTGCACCCCTCACAGGGCAACATTAATTGGTAGGACCATTCAAAATAGACTCAAGAGCTCATGGGAACTCATCACTCCAGCTGGCCTGGTTCTAGGGACTGCTGCACTGGAGGTACAAGCCATGGTGACAAGAACAAGTGGAGCCATATCTTCATCAAAGAAAGGGCCCATGGGGGTCAAGAGTTGCAAACAGGCCCCCTGACTGGAGCTCCCTAAAGGAGTACTTCTCCGTCTCAGCAGGTGAGCCACTTGGCATCCCCGACAGCCTTGATATGGCCCATTTAAGCCTGGAAGGCCAATGGCCCAGGACTACTTGACAGCCTGTTTTTCCTCTCCCCCTGCTGCTTTACCGTGAGTGCTGCCTCACCCTGCGAACAGGCCTGCCTTCCTCTGAAAGGGGGCCCAAAGCAGGTAGGCAATTACAGGGTGGGTAGGAAGAAAAGAAGAGAAAATGTCCTCACTTTTCAAGCCCTGACCCTCCCTCAAGAGAACTACGTGTTCATGCACAGGACAGAGATGGGTTGACAGATGAAGGTCATGGGTCACTTGCTGGGATGCCTGACCCTCTCGTACTAGTCCAGGGAACTCAGGGCTGTTCTGGGGAAACATCTAGCAGTACACACACCTGTCTGTGTCCCTACAATCGATCGCAGAACAAGAGCCTGGCCAACCAACCCTGAGCCAGCCTTCTCAGAAATGCCATCTCCAGAGCATCCTTAAAGCAAATGAATCCCAAGCACAGAGAAACACAAGAGTCTGATGTTGCAGGGCCAGGGAAAAGGAGGAGACTGAACATCCCAAATCCATTTACAAAGTACTAAGTGGCTAGGTGAATATTGGCATCTGACACCTGCTGCTCCCAGCAGTGAGGGAAGGTCCCTGGCAGGGAGTCCAACACCCCAGGGTGCCAAAAAAAGAGGCATTTGTTCTACCAAATGATTCTTAGGGTGGCTTGGACCACACTGAGGGCTTCACTCCACCTTTCAAATTCAACCGGAAGTACCTTCTCCATTTATCCCTTGATCTCCGGCCCCCAAAGACTGGAACATCCTCTCTGTGTGCCTCAGCCACGCATAGTGCCTCTGCTGGTGTGAGCTGAAGCTCTTTCACCTAAAAGCAAAACAAAGACATCCAGTCCTGTTTGTCTTCACCCCCTTACTCTGGCACAAGACACTCTCAACTCACAGGGCGAGCGCCTGGGAACAAGCAGACCAACTGCTAACCTCACACTGACCACAAGCCTGAAAGGACCCCGTTATCTGAAAAGTATGCCAGGTGTCCATGTGTAAGTGCCCTGTCAGCTCAAAGCGATCTCAAACCCAAAAGAGAAGGTGAATCAAGTCAACCAAATTGCACTTCGTTTCCAGTAGAAATTCTTAGTTTTTATATACCCAAATTTTCTTCCTATGAACCAAAAAGACCTGACAAACTAGGAAAAAACAAATCTTTGGAGGAGAAATAGTTTTTTTTTCTCCCCTATGAGGTTCTAGAAAAGTCTAAAATATACTCTAGGATCTCCACCTTTCAAATTCAACCAGAAGTACCTTCTCCATCTATCTCTTGATCTCCGGCCCCCAAAGACTAGAGCATCCTCTCTGTGTGCCTCAGCCAGCTTCTGGAGAGACGGTCAGCCTTGAAAGGTCGACCTCTACCATCCTTCCACAGTCCCCCTGATCCTAGGGCACACCCCCAAGGACACCTGGGGTGTTGGCATCAGGTCACCAAGGTAAGGCATAGTAAAGCGGTCAATTTACCAC